CCCCAAAACCCCAAAACCCCAAAACCCCAAAACCCCAAAACCCCAAAACCCCTAAAAAATAAATAAATATTGAAATAGATACACTATACAATAAAAAACTTCTCATGTATCCAAAACCTAGCAAATTTGAAAATAAAGCTCTCAAATTATTTTGATAAATAATCTTGCATTCCTTGAGGTATCTCTGTGATGAAGCCATCCATAGGATATTTCAAGGCTCTGTCTGCTAGTTCTCCATAATTAATCACAAAAAGGATTATCTGAATTCCTCTTCTTCTTAAATGCCAAAACATTGGTCTCATTGGTACGAGAATTATGCTAACAAGAACCTCAACTAATTGGAAATACCAAGTATGGTGATGTTCGGCTGACATTAATGTTGCTGCCCCAATTTCATAGAAAGGAAACCATACAGAATAGTATTTGAAGTCAAAGAAAGGAAGGAGCCCAAGGAAATAAAGAAGAGCAGTCCTAATAATGTACCAAGTGCCTGCAAAAGTTCTGATCCCAGTGTCCTCAGTCAATTCATAAGCAATATTATTTAGCTCTTCGATATTAGTCCCAATATAAGTGATATGCTCTCTTTTGTATTCTACAATCAGGTCCAGCAATTTGTAGAGCATTTCACGACTGTCAACCTTCAACTCAATGTTCATTATACATCCAGGGAGTTCCTTAAAGACCTCTTCCAGAACAGGAATTGTACCGTCGTCAATTCCTGGCTTTTGATGATAAAATCCATCTTTATTAGGATACTCTACAACCTCCTTGCACTTATGGATCTGGTCATAGTTCAGTTGCTCAACCTTCTCCTTCTGGCCAGTGAGTCTCTCCAAAGTATCGTCATGATGGACAACTATCTTCTTGTCTTTTGTAAACTGGATATCCATCTCAAGAATATTCCTAAAAGTAGTTTAGAAGGATATTTTATGAAATATCAGCTAAGACAAAAGATTCCCAACACAAAGTTAAATTTCAACTAGAGATTTCCTGAAGCAGAACTTCCACTAAAGAGATTTTGGAAGCTAAGGAATCGGAGGTTAGGCTGACTTGCATGTTACTCTCTTTCGCATGTTTGAAAGCAGGGATCGTGCTCTCTAATCTTTCCCAGGCACCGCCTCTGTGACCGCCAAGAATACAAACATTGCCTTTCAAGTCGATCTTAATTGGATTCTTCTTTTTGTAGCATGGGAAAATGAAGAGGATTAAGGATGTAATGCAGTATACTCCAAATAAGCATCCCAAAATAGTCCAAGAAAATATCATTTTATTTGTCTGCTTAACTTCAATTATTTTGCTTAAAAGGGGTTTTGGGGTTTTGGGGTTTTGGGGTTTTTGGGG